TGCTCGAAAGCCGATTTTCAAAATGGCCGCTCATTTCAAAATGGCGGCCATTTTAGTGCCGATTTTACAGTAATTTAGGTGTAATATGTAAAACTGTAATAGCAATATGTTTAAAATGTAAAAAAATTATAAAGGACATTAATAATGCTACAAATGTAGATATTAAAGAAGCACATGGCAGCCATCTTGAAAAATGGCGGCCTTTACTCGTCATTTTACGATTTTTGCTATAACTCAAAAAATAGTGGAGCGATTTTGTTCATATTTGGTATGTGAATACTATAAGCATTGCACACTGTCTAAAGACACTTTTGGTAGAAGGCGGCCATTTTGAAAAATGGCCGCCATTTTAACGTATTTTACTATAACTCGAAAAGTAGTGGAGCGATTTTGTTCATATTTGGTATGTGAATACTATAAGCATGGCACACTGTCCTATGACACTTTTGGTAGAAGGTGGCCATTTTGAAAAAAATTTGGAAAAATGGCCTTCATTTTAATGTATTTTACTATAACCCGAAAAGTAGTGGAGTGATTTTGTTCATATTTGGTATGTGAATACTATAAGCATGGCACACTGTCTATTTCTAATGACGCTTTTGGTAGACAGTGGCCATTTTGAAAAATGGCTGCCATTTTAATGTATTTTACTATAACTCGTAAAGTAGTGGAGCGATTTTGTTCATATTTGATATGTGAATACTTTAAGCATGGCACATTGTCTAATAAAACTTTGGGGAGTAGTCGGCCATTTTGAAAAATGGCCACCATTTTTATGTGTGTTATTTTACAAGTACGTGTGCGATTTTTCAAAAATTTTAGAGGTGGCTACTTTAAAGCATATTATTTCTTCTGATCACAACTTGGCTAGTGAGCAACCATTTTGAAAATGGTGGCCTTTCTGGCGTGTTGTTTTATGATATTTGCTATTTGTTTGTAAAAATGCCAGCCATTTCTGTTCGATGGGATTTGCTACGCTTTGGCGTTGCCGTTGTTCTGGTTAAGCCATTTACTGTCAATTAGAAACATTTGTTTTTGTATACATATGTTTGTTCACTGTCCAAATTGAGAGACGTCTACATATGATTTATTGTTTTTAACATGGGAGCCAATGGTAGACAATAAATGGTCCAAATGTAATCATGTTGAGAGGTGTTCAGACAAAAGAGGTTTTCAGACAAAAGAGGTATTCAGACAAAAGAGGTGTTCAGACAAAAGAGGTGTTCAGACAAAAAAGGTTTTCGGATATGAAGGTTTTACTGTATTTAACAGAATGAATGCTGGTTGGACTTAGCCTCTCTGAAAATTATATCTTAAAATCTAAGATATGTGTTATTGGTACTGAAAATAGAATGAGGTAACATTGATCCTTTTCTTTCCTGCTCATTGACATCTTTCAAGCATTTTCAGATCAGAAAAATCGAAGTACTAGAAATGGTTTATTCGAAAGATCAATGGCCTTTAAAAAATTAATACTCAAATCATCGTTGGAAGGTGGGATTTATGAATGTGCCTACCCCCCCTCCCCCCTAGAAAGATTCATAAATGTGCCATTAAAACCCCTCCCCCATCAGGGCTTACATATAAGATCTTAATGTTGAATAGATTCTCTGGTCACCCCCCAAATAGATTCATGAATGCGCCTACACCCCCCTCCCCCACCAGGGATTACATATATGACCTGTGTTGAATATAGTATCTAGTCATCCCTCTCCCTTATCTCTTACCATTTGTACAGAGAGGTAAGGATGGAGCGAGATGTTCAGTTTTGCCAGAATCAATAAAATTTTGGCATGCGAAGGCTCATTCAGTATATACAGTAAAACCTGTATATCGATGAACACTTTTTTCTGTCCCATTTTTAATCTGCCAACACTTAATTCCATAAGCCTACATGTTGAAGAATCTAGGAATATGAAAACACAATAATACAAAAACTATTTGCTGATGATTTCAAAGGTGTTCATATTAGACAGGCTTTACTGTATAGGGTATGTCAGTTCAGAGGCCTAAAGCTAGTTCATTTCAATCTTGGCCAGCTGATTTTTATAGCATGTATAGAGAGATAATGTAATAAGTGATCTGTAATTCATTTTTGACCAGTATGTATGAAATCCTTGTGCCTCCCCTGAAATGTATGTTTACCTAATGTAAAGTATCTTTAAGAAATGTCGAATTTTGCTGAAAAAAGAAACTTTAAACGTTCAATGTGTTATGCTGTTATGAACTACTAATGCTGTTATCTATTTTAGTCATCAGATGATAAAAGTAAATAGATAAAATAGACTAGATTCGAGTAGAAATAATCTTGATTTATGTCATTAAATATTCAAAATTCAGTCAAAATGATGTCATTTGTGAAATCTTCATAAAAAAATACATCTAAAAATATGGTTTGAAAATTGTTTATCAACTTCTAGTTCAGGGAGATTCCCCATAGACCCCATGTTATAAAATCATAAAAAGTGAAATATCTTTTCTTGTATTGGACAAATATTTTCTTTTACTGGACATGGTGGCGAAACTGGTACATGTAACTACCTACTCACAATTTTGTACTTTGAACACTACACAGCACTGTACTCAAACATACTGAACATTAACAAACTCTTAATGTTCCGTACAGTATTATGCTTTCAGAGTTTGGATTTGCAGTTTTTCACCATTTTGAGCACTTCTCAAGTGATTTTAGCCATATTTGGGCCAAATTGTCAAACGTGAACCCCCCCCTGGAAATTTTTGAAAACTGAACCCCCCCTGGCTACGGGCCTGACGAGATCCCCCTTCTACATACCTAAAATATAACATTTAAGTTTAAGAGAAACCTCTTTACTTGCACAGATAACCAGAGCTTGTCATTGCCAGAAGGGCATTTTGAGTACATGGTCATTTTCCCTAGTCAAGACTCCTTTTACTGAACATTGACCAACAATTTATTGAGACTACTTTCTTTCTTGTTGCTGATTGGTTGAGAAAGTGTAGGTGCAGTAGGTTTGATTCGATTTATGACCTGGGCTGTGACGGCTATCAGTGATGTCTCAGGGAGGGACTGCTAAACTGTAAAATTATCTTGAACTGTTCAGAGGTTAGTTTAGAATGATTCCCTCTGCTCAGGGAGACTAGAGACTTAATTTAAAACTAGATCCTGCTTGGCGTATAGATTAAGTTTTGTTTATATAATACCATGTTCTATTTCTCATCTCATTAAAACATCGAGTTGATTTCTAAACTAGATACCAGAATCTAATTTTGCCTTCGCTATCTTGATTCTTTAGATGATGATGACTCTAACATAATGCAAAATGAGATATATTAAAAAAGCTGACTCAGTTATTGAATTTCTTTTATTTGATATGTTTAATTTAATCCTCTTGCATCTTTCGAGAATTTATGGGAATGAGTTTGTTTGTTTTTGCTCTCATGCTATCATAGATTTTTATGTTCAGTCCGTCTATTTACAATGTACTTTGATACGGTATATATCTAAATCATGCTGTTTTTTACACATAAGATAGATGAGTATAAAATATTGCGGGAGATTATTATTACTGCATTATATTGTGAAAGTTTATTAAAATAACATGTCTCTGATCAACAAAGGCATAATAATCTATTTTATTTTCCTGTGTTTTAATATACTTGAAAAAGAGATCAACAAAAAATCGATCATTTTTTATGGTTACTCAGCGTAATAGCAATTTTTAATATGCTGTTTGCATGTTAGATCTGAAACGATCGCCATTTGGTACATCCTTGAATGTGGCTTTTCATCTCACTTTATATGATTCTTTGGTCATGCCTCTTGAAATTGTATTGTATTTAATCATTTTGTAGCTCAGAACTCATCTAATAGCACTTTAAATCCGGTAAAACATTGCCTTTTTGGCTGTTTCTACAGCTTACAATTTTTGAAATAATTAAGTCAAAAGCATTCTCAAGTGACACTTGGTCAAAAATGTTTTAATGTTGAAACATTAAAAGGGATTCTGAGGAAAGTCAAAGAAAATTCAAGAACTACTTCTTCATAATTTTCCCAAATTAAGTTGGTAGTGACTTCTTTTACATATACAGGGTGTCTCCAAAAAGTATATTTAAGGACACACATAGAATAATCTCTGAGTCATGAAGGAAGATTGGATTTCTTTCAATTTGGTCATATGATAGACAATTTAAAGTATCATAAACATCAGCAATTTTCTGTATTCAGTTGATTTGTGTTTGAATAATTGGTAACCATTGTTTTATATATTCACTTGGTTGGTGGCCATTGTTATTTGTATTCAGTTGATTGGTGATTATTGCAATTTCTATTCATGTGATGAGTGCATTCAAAGGATCTACACAGACCTGGTAATGTCAGGAAATTTGAGTTGAGCCACATATGAAATGAAATTTTGTATCAGAGTTGAAATAGCAAAAAAATAAATTGCCTGTTCAACCGTTGATGGATTTCTAGAGGCTGCACAAAAATATCTGGAACTTGATATTTTTGCCTACCTCTTTCAAGAAGCAAAATCAAAATATTTGAAAGAGTGGAAATGTTGGAAAGATGTCAGGAAAACCCATCCTCCTAAGCAGGTGTCCAGAATCCGTACCTCCTTCTTCCCCCCTGCTATAACCAATTTGGAAGCCCCCGATTTAACTGAATCACGTTATCTAATTATGCGCAATGACTTGTATAAGATTTCTGTCTCAGTGTTGGGACAGCCAATCAGATTGCGAGTTCTTAATCGGGGATATGCTAACTGCTTATCGCAGGGGGTAAAAAGAAAGAATATATTCTGGATTTTGAAGCCCTGTGATCGGAGGATTGGAAACCCAGTTTAGGTAGTTTGTGGTCATTGAATTCATGTGTTCGGTGACCATTTCATTCAAGTTATTGGGGACCATGTATTCTGGGATTATTTAGAAATATTGTGACTTAAAGTATTTATTTTGTATTTTACAGGTGCCATTGGAGGTGGTATTATTAATATTTTGTTTTATTTTGTATTTTACAGGTGATGTATAAATCTGGCATTTCACAGACATTATGAGCACATCTCTCAAGATGCAAGCAGATTCCACTCAATCTGACATGCCATCAAAAAGGGCCAAGACAAAATCAAAGAAACGTAAAAAATCCACATCTGAAGACAGAAAAAAGCTGGAGAAGGCGAAACGGATGAAAAAATCAGCTCCTAAGAAGAAGGTGATGCCTGAAATGTCATTGGTGTATTTCTGGCTCATTAAAATCTCATGAATGTTGTTTTTTACCTTGAAGAATTATACTCGTAGGATAATGGATGCCTTTATTTTGAATTCCAGTAAAGTTTCATTGTAAAGATCTTCCTTAACTAGCCATCTAAGCTTACAGAATGCAGTTTGTGTGCTAAATTGCAACAAAAAGAGTAATTTTACTTGTAATATTGCTATTTACTGCTCGTCTAATTGCAAAAATAGAATTAGTTTAAAAGGCAAGAAAATATGCAAAACACAGTAATGAATAATTTGCCTTTGCTCATCAATGAAGATTAAATAATTTGTGAGAGCTCTCATTTGCCCAAAATTTGTCCAAATTTTCCCAAATTTTCTCTCAAAAAGCTGTCTTTGTAATTCTCTTGCATTTGAACAAAATCATAAATGCTGGTTTTCCCTTGTATTCTTCTCTCATTATTCTATAAAAGGAAATTAACATTATGATGGAAGAGTGTTTTATTAAAGGGAATGTCGATGACTCTAATAAGCTGGTCATTGTTATATAGGAGATCAACTCTGAGGCTAGCATAGCTTCGGAGTTAAAAAGTTAATCAGATTTATTTTTATGTTCTTTAATCCATAGAGTGTTATGAGGTCTACGAACATTTTGTCAAGAAATTAAATGGATACAAAGTTCAATTACCCCTATGAATCATATATCTTGGATACTCGGCACCTCTCAAGTTTTCATTACACAGAACGTTTTAAGAATCGGCTTCGAATTTCAGGAAAATGCAATATGAGTTTATATAAGGTGACATGTTCTTTAGATGTCATTTTCCAAGTTTTTCTCAGAAAAAATGGCCTTTCAGTTCAATTAAAGAAACCATTGAGTGAGGCGTGTGTCAGTTTCATTCCATTGTGCTACTGTGTAAACTTATAATGAGCATAATTAGAACGATGCTGTTACATTACATTTAGCATGTTTGTCTTGAATTTCGATTCAACTTTTCACCCACGATGAAAGTAAGCTGTTGGTGGAGATCTGATCTTGACTTAATCATACATATGAGATTAATATCATGATTTTAAGCTTCAATTCATTAAGATATATCTGTATAGGTATATGAAAAAGGTGAAGGTTTTTGATAACAATTTCATTGATAATGCATATTATAGAATATTAAAGGAGTGTTGTCTGTAAGCTAAGACGCCTACTTATCTTCCTATAATGTAATTCCTCATTAAAGCGGCACCAGTATATAAGATTTAGCTTGAAATATTGATCTGTTTTCTCCATCTACTGCATTACGATTTTAATTATTTATTTTTCACCGTGATTTTTATTTGCAATTGTGACGATGAATATTGTGCTGGTTTCATATTGTTCTGCTGAAGTTCCATTTCCTGGAATCTGTCAACTCACAAAGTGAAATATTGAATTTTTTAATCAATTTCTGAATATTATATTTTCTTTTTTCCTCTTGATGAGATCAAGGGGTTTTATACACTTGTTTCCTATGGAGCACCATACATTGATTTTCTAAATAGGGGAATACATTGATTTTCTCAATTTAATAAACACACATGAAAAGTATAATGTATTTTTTGTTAAGAATCAATATCCAGTAGCCTCTGTGGAATATCTGCCGATGGTATATTGTAAATGTTAAATTTAAACGCTTAATGAGAAATTTTCTGTTTTTAGGCAAAGCGGGGAACTAATGAAGATGATGATGAAAATCTCAGTGATGACAGTGACCTTGACCTTGAAAAAGAAGTCCTGCCGATCGGGAAGTTCATCAAAAATAGAGAGACTCTGATTAACGAAATCTTCCACTCATTGAGGGGTTCCCGCTTGGGCAACATGGTTCCCGACATCTTAAAGGTGCCAAAAACAATTCTTCATACGTTTGTAAATCTTCAAAAGTCTTACGACATAATTCACATTCTTCTGAAGCAAGATATGTTTTTATTGTGCCATTATATCTGTTGTTGCAAGCTTGTGGTTTTAAAGCACTATTGAAAATTATAATCAATAAATTGCATCGTGTTATCTTAGAATTGTAAATTTTATGCATTATTACTGCCGAAGCACTCAAACCTGATGTTATTCATTTTATGAATGCTATTTCAAGATCTAAACGAGCATTTCAAATTCATTTGCTTTTATATTTCCTTTTTAATGGAGTCAATTAGTATCTTGTGCATGTTTCAAACAAAACAGCTGAACAGTACGTGGCAAGGATGGAAGGATTCAACAGAATGAGTTACAGAAATAGAAAAATTGAATAATGCCACGTGAAATTGAATAGATGTATAAATAAATGAATAATAAAATATGATTTTTACCATTATCACCCAGATAAGGGCCTCAAAACATTTAACTATTCTTGGATGCATGGTAACATATATAGATGGTCTCTGGTCACCAAAAATGTTTCTCACAGTAATGAACTCTTTTCTAATCCTCATTTTTCTGAGTTACCTTAAGGAAGCAACAACTTTAAAAAACATGTTCGCCTCTATTTTTCTGAGTTCAAAATGTTCAAAATGAAGACTACAAAATGTTTATATTTGACTTCAATGGCCATGGCACCTTTCCATGGATCCCTTGTAAAAAATGTGAAAATCTGATTTTTCATAAAAAACACTTAGTTAATCAACAGAAACAAATATGATATGTACTTAATATTTTATCATAAAAGTAGGTGTCCACTGTTAATGTCCATTATTGACAACTTCTTTCGGCAAACATCTTTAAATAAAACATTAAAAGTTAAAGTAACTTCTAGTTCATACATCTGTCTAGAATCAGTATGCTTTGAGACTTGCCAATTCTGGCACCATCCTTCTTGTCAATTATTTACATTTTCAGGAAGATTTTCAAAATAGTTTCTGAGAAATCACATGATACTGTCAATTGACCTTTTTGAACAATGGAATTTGAAAGAGAATGTCTTTTAAATATAAATAGCTTCAACAGGCTTTTAATCGTTATAATGTCTCCAGCAAAAGTGGTGACATTCGTATTGTTATAGTCTCCAACTTTTTTGTTGACTGTGTTTGGCAGTCAGCGTTTGGTGGTTGACGTTCAATGTCTGTAACAAATGGCAGGTTGTGACATTTTGCATGTAAACGCCTTCTTCTGTTGTTGCATGTTACCCTTTGCTTTTATCTGATACCATTAAACGGTGCAAAGGGCACATCATTCTATCACAACATCATAACAACTGAGCAAGCATCATTCGAATTTTCTATATTCTAATTGCTATGATATTACTTTGACTTTTTGAAATATCTAGAAAAAAAAGAATCAAATATTTTAGATATATGAGTATCTCGCAATATTCACCAGTTGTCTGATTTTATACGTGAGTGAATATCACTAGATCTTTCATTTAGTTTTGACCAATCATACTATTTGGGCTTGACGGTGATATAAAATTGTAAAATCATTTGAGTTGAGCAAAAGTATATTTCTCTTTTATTTTGTCTCCATTATTCCCTCCAACAGAAAATACCTATCCTTCTATTGTTGTAAGCCCAGGGTGCGTCCAAACATTTATGCACTCTGACAGGCACTTATTCTATGCTGGTGTGTTAAGGTAGGCTGATCTGAAAGAAAATATAACAAGTCCAAAAGTTGATACATTCTTCCCATCTTAAGAATCACTTCTTCTTTGTTGCAGTCAGTCAGCCAGGATGAACTGAAGAAACTTTGTCTTGAGCAGCTTCTCATCATGTCCCGCAAACGCATCAAAAGAATCATTGACGGTAATTTCAATTTTAATACATTTGAGATTTTGGTTTATACTTTTGTATTTATTTCAGTGATTGAGTTAGTAAAAGTGAAGCCCATCAGCTCCATAATTTCATGCTGCTTGTCTTGTTTTGGAAACTTTTGTAGATACTTGTCTAAGGTAATACTTGACTTATGTAATACTTGTCTTATTTAGATACTTGTCTTATTTAGATACTTGTCTTCTGTAATACTTGTCTTATTTAGATACTTCACTTATGTAATACTTGTCTTATTATCCCATCGAACGAAGTTCGGAGGGATATAGGGAACGCCTCCGTCCGTCCGTCCGTCCGTCTGTCCGTCCGTCTGGGCAATAACTGAAATACCGTTGGCCCGATTTTGTTCATATTTTGTACACATATACCCTATGGGGGTAGAAGTTCTGCTCGAAAGCCGATTTTCAAAATGGCAGCTCATTTCAAAATGGCGGCCATTTTAGTGCCGATTTTACAGTAATATGTAAAACTGTAATAGCAATATGTTTTAAATTTAAAAAAATTATAAAGGACATTAATAATGCTACAAAAGTAGATATTAAAGAAGCACATGGCAGCCATCTTGAAAAATGGCGGCCTTTACTCGTCATTTTACGATTTTTGCTGTAACTCAAAAAATAGTGGAGCGATTTTGTTCATATTTGGTATGTGAATATTATAAGCATTGCATACTGTCTAAAGACACTTTTGGTAGAAGGCGGCCATTTTGAAAAATGGCCGCCATTTTAACATATTTTACTATAACTCGAAAAGTAGTGGAGCGATTTTGTTCATATTTGGTATGTGAATACTATAAGCATGGCACACTGTCCTATGACACTTTTGGTAGAAGGCAGCCATTTTGAAAATTTTTTTGAAAAATGGCCGCCATTTTAACGTATTTTGCTATAACTCGAAAAGTAGTGGAGCGATTTTGTTCATATTTGGTATGTGAATACTATAAGCATGGCACACTGTCCTATGACACTTTGGGTAGTAGGTGGCCATTTTGAAAAAAAATTGAAAAATGGCCGCCATTTTAACATATTTTACTATAACTGGAAAAGTAGTGGAGCGATTTTGTTCATATTTGGTATTTGAATACTATAAGCATTTCACACTGTCCTATGACACTTTTGGTAGAAGGCGGCCATTTTGAAAAAAAATTTGAAAAATGGCCGCCATTTTAACGTATTTTGCTATAACTCGAAAAGTAGTGGAGCGATTTTGTTCATATTTGGTATGTGAATACTATAAGCATGGCAAAGAGGAGGGAAAGCCCCAGAGTTTCAAGATGACAGACATAATTACCTCTCTTGCTTACCACCTTCGTTCGTTCGAATTTTCATCGGCTAGCTATGAAATACTACACTTCGATGGGATGTTATAATTGATATAGGCATATTCCGTACACCTTTCTTTATCTTGATGTGAAATGAGAAGCTATGATATTGGTTAACACGCCAGAAATGAACGTAATATTATTCGAAGCGTATTTCGAAAATTTTGAAACCGCCATTGATGACGTCATTTGTTTGTCGACTTTTGACCAATCAGCGACCGTGTCATCTCAATACAGATTTACATTATAAGCGTATGTCATCTTTGAACCCTGGTGTTTCTCCCCCTCTGAGCATGGCACACTGTCCTATGACACTTTTGGTAGAAGGCGGCCATTTTGAAAAATGGCCGCCATTCTAACGTATTTTACTATAACTCAAAAAGTAGTAGAGCGATTTTGTTCATATTTGGTATGTGAATACAATAAGCATGTCACACTGTCTATTTCTAATGACACTTTTGGTAGAAGGTGGCCATTTTGAAAAATGGCCGCCATTTTAACGTATTTTACTATAACTTGAAAAGCAGTGGAGCGATTTTGTTCATATTTGATATGTGAATGCTTTAAGCATGGCACATTGTCTAATTAAACTTTGGGGAGTAGTCGGCCATTTCGAAAAATGGCCACCATTTTTATGTGTGTTATTTTACAAGTACGTGTATGATTTTTCAAAAATTTTAGAGGTGGCTACTTAAAAGCATATTATTTTTTCTGATGACAACTTGGCTAGTGAGCAACCATTTTGAAAATGGTGGCCTTTCTGGTGTGTTGTTTTATGATATTTGCTATTCGTTTGTAAAAATGCCAGCCATTTCTGTTCGATGGGATTCGCTACGCTTTGGCGTTGCCATTGTTCTGGTTTAGATACTTGACTTATGTAATACTTGTCTTATTTAGATACTTGTCTTCTGTATGTACTAAGAAACTAATCTGAAATAGACCCTCGCTTGTGTATACTTGATTGTTTTATATTTGTTATATTTGTATAGCTGTTTTATGTAGGTACTTGTCTTATGGACATACTTGCCTTATGCAGATACTTGCCTTATGAAGATTGTCAGTACTTTTGGAGATTGTATACAGACAATTTTCTTATAATTCCTATATTATTTAAATATCGAATATGAAAAAAAAAAATTATTATCTGGATATTTCCATTAAATGTAAATATATGACAAGTTTGCCTAAATTTTTGACAAAAACATTAGTTAAGTAAATGGTAATAATTAGGAAAGTAAACACGCATTAGGAGGACACATATGAATAATATTGTTATAATGGTGCAAAAACTACATTGATTTCTGATGTGTTAACATACAATACAAGTATATATCATACAGGTATTATCCTGCAATTAATGTTCAGAGTATTGATCGTTTCCGTTCGCTGGTATTGGCAGGGATAAAAGAGAAAATATATTATTTAAAATATATAAATATTTATTTTGTAATTTAGTAATTGTTAATTCCTTACTCATCTAATTATATTTCTGTTATATGAATGAAAAGTTTTTTTATCAGAGACGAGTATTGTTATTGAATTTTTTTTTGCTATTATCGATATTTTTTTTTTTATTGTAAAATCTTCAATCCACTAAAACAGAGAATGTTATGTTATGTATTTCACAAATAATAGCTTTGCCATTGGAAGTAAATGGCCAGCAAATTGGAAATGCAAGTTAAACACAAGTGAGGTTTATTTGAATTATAAAAACATAGAAATGTTTAAAAATCTTTTGTTTTACAGTATTAAGGTCCAGGTTGAGTTATATCCGCATTATTTCTTTTCTCATGAAGAACAGCGTTGGCTCAAACTTATGGCTTTAAAAGTTTGTTTATGTTGACAACAATTTTAATAAAAAAACTGAATTTATGCATGATTTAAATAACGACATCTCATAATTTACATTCAACACTTGCATTAAAACATTTTTGAGATTTTACAATCAGATAACATTGTGATTTTTTATTACAACCTGTAACATTGTTTTGATAAAAAATGTTTAGGTTTTCCTCATCCATTAGCGTCAGTTTTACATCGATTTCATTATATAATGGCCAGCTGAGCTTGTGAATTTTACGAGAGCATGATAAGTCATATTAATTAAGAATTCATTTGTATTGCAACCAAATGATATACAGGGTGGTCCAAAAAAGTGAACCCCTGCAACAGGCTATATTTTCCTATCATGCATGAATTGGCTCATATTATCACATCTTGTAAAATTTTTCTTGATGCCATGATGACTGTATTCTCTTTCTTGAATTTGAAAGAAATTACAAGATTTAAACAAACATGCCTAAAATTAGATATTGTGCAAAACTTTACCAATGTGATTCACAGAAATTGTTGAAACACATTGGATAGTCTTAAAAAAGCTTACAGTGAGAGATGTAAGTTTAAACCATACCATATGACAAATGGTACATTATTTGGGCAGAAAACACATTTCACACTTTCATTGACCATTTTGAAGCAGTTTTAACCATTCAACAGTTAAGGGGCATGTTACCTACACAAATGGTTACAGGGAGGCAACGTTACCCCATATGACCCAAAATCTGAAAAGCCCTTCATATAAATATCTTAAAAAAATCAAAAGGAAATCTGATATTCAGTGTTTTGAGCCATATTTCATTAGAATTGGGCCATGCTAATGAAGATATTGACATTTTAAGACCATATAGGGGTATGTTGCGATTTCACTGATGAAGATGTTTTTCTTTGGAAACTTAGACCATTTCTTTTGATCACAATAACTGTGCAACTAACAGAGGCAGAATGCTAATTTTTACAGGGATTCCTGCAGGTAATAAAAGAAATATAGCCTGTCGCAATAGTTCACTTTTTTGGACCACCCTGTATGCTACATATATCTGGGGTATGTTATGTCAACATGGCATAAAAAATAGTACTTTACTTTCAAATATAGATTAAATAAATGGAAATTGTGTTGCTTTTTGACGTTATCAGTCAAACAAATGACATTATTTCAGGGATATTGTGATTTGAAGCATATAGTTATTTTGGTTTCCAGTTTTTCTTTAGTATAATTTTGTATCATATAACTGATGGATATCACCCCATAAAACTGATTTATATCAAATCAGATTTAATTAGTTTGCTAATTCTGCATTTCATTCCTGTAATTAGAAATTTGCAATATACATTTGTTCTCAACAATTTTTCTTCAGATCTTATGATCAAAGAAATGTTCAACGATTTGAATATTGCTTTTTAGTTCATCTTGGGATAACAATATCGTTTTTAGTCCCTAGCTGGATCCTCTTAATTATACGCTTAAATTCAAAGCAATTATATTTGGAGAGCTCCAATGTCATCCCACTTGATTAGATCAAGATTTCTTCATTAAAAGGGTAGATGCTTTATAATTAGGCAAAAATGCTGAAATATATGATTTTATATTAATGGCAAATGCTATCAATCTATATGTGAGCACAATAGAAGGATGGGTGAAATTGCCCAGGTTCTTTGTCTAAAAATGTCAAGGAGACAATGAAATATATAATGGTTGATGTTGTTATGAAATTCATTGATTTTATTTGATATTTCACACCTTGACGGCTAAACACTTGGCTAATATATAAATGTTGATGCCTAATAAGGGAGCGTTCGAAGAATATCTTCTAGATCA